GGGAAAAAACCCAAATCAGTAAAATCAGAAAAACAAAAGTGAGCTAAAACAAACACCAAGGAAATCCAGGAAATCATCAGAGACTACTTCAAGAACCCATATTCTAATAAGTTTGAGAATCTTGAAGAAATGGACAAATTTCTAGATACTTATGACCATTCAAAACTGAACCAAGAGGATATTAACCACCTAAACAGATCTATAAAATGAAATGAAATTGAAGCAGCAATAAAGAGCCTCCAAAAAAAGAAAAGTCCAGGACCTGATGGATTCTCTACTGAATTCTATCAGACCATTAAAGGAGAACTAATACCAACTCTCCCTAAACTTTTCCATGAAATAGAAAGGGAAGGAATACTGTCTAACTCATTCTATGAAGCCAGTATTACACTTATCCCAAAACCAGACAAAGACACATCCAAAAAGGAGAACTATAGGCCAATCTCCTTAATGAACACTGATGCAAAAATCCTCAATAAAATAATGGCAACCCAAATCCAACAACATATCAGAAAAATCATTTACCATGACCATGTCAGCTTCATCCCAGGAATGCAGGGGTGGTTCAACATACACAAATCTATAAATGTAATACAGCACATTAATAGAAGCAAAGATGAAAACCACTTGATCATCTCAATAGATGCAGAAAAAGCTTTTGATAAGATTCAACACCACTTCATGATAAAAGCTCTAAGAAAACTAGGAATAGAAGGAGTGCACCTCAACATTATAAAGGCTACATATGACAAATTTAATGGAGAAAAACTGAAACAATTTCCGCTAAAATCAGGAACGAGGCAAGGATGCCCACTCTGCCTACTCCTGTTCAACATAGTCCTGGAATTCCTAGCTAGAGCAATTGGGCAAGAAGAATAAAAGGAATACAAATAGGTAAAGGAACAGTCAAAATATCCCTATTTGAAGGTGACATGATCCTATACCTCAAAGACTCAACAAACTCCAGCCAAAGACTCCTAGACACCATAAATAGCTTCAGCAATGTAGCAGGATACAAAATCAACCTACAAAAATCAGTAGCCTTTCTATACACCAACAATGAACAAACTGAGAAAGAATATAGGAATACAATTCCATTTACAATAGCCCCCCCAAAAAATCAAATACCTAGGAGTAAACTTAACAAAGGATTTGAATGACCTCTACAAGGAGAACTGCAAACCCTTGAAGTAAGAGACAGAGGAAGACTGCAGAAGGTGGAAAGATCTCCCATGCTCATAGATTGATAGAATCAACATAGTAAAAATGGCTATACTACCAAAAGCAATCTACATGTTCAATGCAATTCCCATCAAAATCCCAATGACATTCATCACAGAGATTGAAAAATCTACCATAAAGTTCATTTGGAAACACAAGAGACCACGAACAGCCAAGGCAATACTCAGTAAAAAGAGCAATGCTGGAGGTATCACGATATCTGACTTCAAATTATATTACAGAGCAATAGCAATAAAAACAGCATGGTACTGGCACAAAAACAGATATGAAAACCAGTGGAACAGAATAGAGAACTCGGATATGAATCTGCACAGCTATGCCCACCTTATTTTTAACAAAGGCACCAAAAACATACAATGGAGAATAGACATTCTCTTCAACAAATGTTCCTGGGAAAAGTGGTTATCTGCCAGCAGAAAACTCAAAGTGGATTAAGCACCTTAATATCAAACCTGAAACTCTGAATCTAGTACAGAAAAGAGCAGGGAATACTCTAGAAGCAATAGGTACGGGCAAGGACTTCCTCAATAGAACCCCAGCAGCTCAGCAACTAAGAGAAAGGATAGACAAATGGGACTACATGAAATTAAAAAGCTTCTGCACAACAAAAGAAATGGTCTCTAAACTGAAGAGACCACCCACGGAGTGGGAAAAAATATTTGCTAGCTATACATCAGAGAAAGGACTGATAACCAGAATATACGGGGAGCTCAAAAAACTAAACCACCCCCAAATCAATGAACTGATAAAGAAATTGGCAACTGAACGAAACAGAACTTTTTCAAAGGAAGAAATCCAAAGGGTCAAAAAACACATGAAAAAATGCTCACCATCTTTGGCCATAAAGGAAATGCAAATCAAAACCACACTAAGATTCCACCTTACCCCTGTTAGAAGAGCTATCATCAAAAACACCACCAGCAACAGGTGTTGGCGAGGATGTGGGGAAAAATGAATCCTCATATGCTGCTGGTGGGAATGCGAGCTATTACAACCACTCTGGAAAACAATATGGAGGCTTCTTAAAAAATTAAACCTAGATCTGCCATATGATCCAGCAATCCCACTCCTGGGGATATACCCAAAGGAATGGGACTCAGGTTACTCCAGAGGCACCTGCACACCCATGTTTATTGCAGCACTATTCACAATAGCCAAGTTATGGCAACAGCCATGATGCCCCACTACTGATGAATGGATCAAGAAAATGTGGTATTTATACACAATGGAATTTTACTCAGCCATGAAGAAGAATGAAATCTTGTCATTTGCAAGTAAATGGATGGAATTGGAAAACATCATCTTAAGTGAAGTTAGCCAGGCTCAAAAGGCCAAACATCATATGTTCTCCCTCATATGCAGACTTTAGAACTAAAACAAATGCAGTAATATTATTGGACTTGGGTCACACTGTAAGGGGAGAACACATACATGAGGAATAAGGAAAGGTAGGAAACTCAAAATTTGAAAGTGTTTGATGTGCCCACTGTAGAGGAGTTAATATAGAAACTTTAAAACAACAGAGGTCACTACGGGAAGGTGACTGGGAAGTAGTGAAGAGGTCAGGTAGAGAGCAATCAATTTGGGTTGTAATACACACGTGCATGGAAGCAATGCTAGGAATCTCTCTGTATAGCTATCCTTATGTCAAACTAGGAAAAATGCTATATCTTTCTTATTATTGCTTATTTCTTCTCTTCAACAAAATTGGAGAAGAGGGCAGCTCATGTTCTGCCTGGAAGGGGGGATTGAGGGGAGAGGGAGGGGATGGGGAGGGGGTGGGGGAAGGGGCAGGGGACAAGGGGGAGAAATGGCCTAAACAATGTACGTGCATATGAATAAATAAAAACATAAAAATAAAAAATTTTAATCTTAATAAAAGATTTATTGATTCTAAACCTACATCTACATTTATTAAAGGGCAAAGTCTTCTCCCCAATGATCTAAGGGCCACTAGAGCAGCTTCTGCACAGCAGCTGCCACCTGCATATTCCTGGCTACCTCTCGTCTACAGTTCGCAAAGCAAAGAAGCTCAAATGTGTCCACTAAAGAGGACCAATTTTAGAATTTAAATAAGAAGAGGCCACCAGTTTGGTCCAATAGAGGTCACACATTTTCACTAACTAGGCATGCAGATGCAGTGAAACAAATTATCTTAATGAACCAAACAATGAAACTATAAATCTTTTTCATTCTAATTCCTCTATGTGCTTTCTAGGCCTTCTCTCACAATATAGATTTCTAGGAGGCTTTGAATGTTACACAATGGGGATACCAGGACACTTAGGTGGGTCTCTTCTCATTTGAGAGATAAAACACCTTGTCTGTTAAGAAGCTATAGTTAGTCTGGCTTCCATCTCATCCCTCAGGGATCGTGTTCATATGAATGCTTCAAAGTTCAGAGAGAAATACAATGCAACCCTCTGGATCCATGGGTTCCACATGCTCCTCAAATCCAATAAACTATGGATTCAAAGTACTAGGGAGGTAGGGGGAACCAAGGAATTGCATCTGTATTGAACATATGTAGACTTTTGTTATTGTCCCCTAAACAATGCAGTACAACTATTTATGTAGCTTTTATATTACATTGGGTATTAAAAATAATCTAAAGATGATTTAAAGCAGCCAGGCACGGTGGTACATGCCTATAGGCCCAACTATATAGGAAGATTGAATCCAAGACCAGCCAGAGCAAGTTAGTGAGATACTGTCTTAAAAAAAACAAGCAAATAAATAAATAAACTGTAAGTTCTATAGAAATATTACTACACCATTTCAAATAAGGGATTTCAACATTCCTCAGATTTGGAGGTTATAGGGCTGGAACCAATTCCCCACATATACTGATGGATGACTGCCTAGGAATAGGCACCACTCATACCCCTGTTCCAAACCCTAGCCTGGAAGGTCAGCAACTCCTATCAACTCCTAGCCACAGTCTGGGTAGCAGGCCTAGGAAGGAAGGTCCTCAGGGGACTCAAAGTAGGAGTTTAACAAATGAGGGTTTGGGTTTTATGTTCCACATTACATCTGCCTGTTTCTAGACTCTCATAACACCATGTAACATGCTGTAAGTTCCAGTTCCCCAGTCTATAACATGCTGTAGGTTCCAGTTCCTTTCAGTCTATAAACCTCTTATACAACTCTGGATCTTCTAAGTCTGCTACACTGACCTACAGATATTAAGGACTTAATATCTGTAGTATTAAATGATTTAAAATCACTATTTTAATTTGGAACCGAACTAACTTGCCTAGAATGGAATTGATATTTATGAAGAAAGAAGCTAGAAACCTGGCTGATATTCACCAGGAAAGGTAGAGCAAACTGGCACAAGAGAATTCCCTAGAGATCTCAAGAAGGTGTATCTATTGTAGTAAGCAAGAATTAACTGAAAAGAAAGCATTTAGATTTCCATTTTGAACTGTCCAACCAAAACTTTTACCCCATAATGAGAGGCAGAGAGCTGTAAGGGAAACGGAATCCCCAGGAATCAGGCAGACAAGTTCAAATCTTGGTTCACTCTGCTTGCTGCATGACCTTGGACAAATAAGCCATTAAGGCTTGGTTTCTTCAGCTCAAAAAGATGGGGATAATGAGCCTACCTGCAGAGGACTGCTGTTAGGAATATATATGACAACAAATGCCTTGAATATAGCAAATGCACAATAAACGGTAGCAGTTCTGAGCTGAACACTTGAAACTCAAAAGTCAAAGTTTTTAAGTATTTTCTACTTGGTATACATACCACTTACCAATTCCATATTTAGCCTTATAATATGACTTTGTATATTCATCACAGTCGCAGAGGAGCACTTTCCTTCCCCACACATTGATGGTGGCTCCTACTGACAGGTCACTATCTTTATAAAACTCTTGATCTTGTTTTCCTAGCTAATAAAAACAGAGGAATATAGCATTGGCACCACAGACCTTCCCCTCCAAAAAAAATTTTTAAAACTTCAACTATATCATTTATAACTAAATTTTTTAATCAAATAAGAAAGCAACCAATGTTAATATTCTAAAGCATTATTCTAGCACTGCCAGGCTTGAAAATAGCCATGCAATGCATATGCTTCTATATGCACTTAAGCATGTTTATTATTGATAAATGGCAGTACAACACGTATATTTACACATTTATTGATTTCATTCACAATGTCACTCATCCCACTGTTCAGGTTCTGGGAAAGTCACACTGAAAATAGTAATAAAATGCGGGGGGTCTGACCTGGTGTTTATCCAACAGATAGCCATTCACTGGCTGCTGATCTCCCAAGTCACCATACACATTGAGAACTGCTCGTTCAGTTAACTGGCCTGGTTGATAGACTCCAGGTGGGCCATACTGGAAAACAAAACCAAAACATGGTGTTGCAGATGACCTCTAAACACAGACATGGTGCAAATCAAGGGACACTTGTGGGAAATAAGCATTTTATGACTCTACCATCTAGAGAAAGGCACTCAGTCCATCCACCTCTCTATGCTGACAGAACTCCCGTAGGTTGACCTACAATCTATGCATCCTTCATGTCCCTGATAAAAGTCCCATCTCTCCCCTGACCCTTCCAATATCCTATAGGTAGCTATCCACTTGGTTCCCCACCAAGCCACCAGACACACTGAGAACTGTCATCTGCTCCCAATCCAAACCTCACCAACACCTACCATAGGGTTCAATCAACTACTTTCTGTGGTGGTCCAATTCTTTTGTCAGCAATTATCTTTTCACTAAACTACAGACCTCCTGAGGAAGAAACCCTGCCTCCTTGCCTTCTTTTCCTCACTTCGCCTAGCACCCTCCCACATCCTGAGCTGTTAGTGGAATAACTGCTGGCAGACCAAGCAGTGTGAGGACGCAGAAAGAGCAAGAGATTGGGGTCAGCCTCTAAGAGAAAATGTGGCCTGGAGCAAGCCAGCCCCGCATACCTGCTCCACTGCTTGGAGGTAGTTCCAAGCAGTTGTGTGAGCTGCAGAAAATCCCTTAACTTAAATAAATTGATAGTGATCTAAAGCAATGCCTGCAGATGAGAAATCTGAACCTTTTTTGATCTGTGTGGCATAAAATGTAACTCTAAATGTGTGAAATTTATGATGATGTGGCCGAAGCAGGCCACAAATCCTAGAACAGCACATTCGGACACAAACTCTCTCTTCACTACTTACTAGCTATAGGACTCAGGGTCAAGAACTTATCTTCTCAGAATTCAAGTTTCTTCATCTCTTTCACTGCAACAAACTTACTCACTACATGCTATCTCAAAGGATGCTGTGTCAATGGAACACACATCCCTTTTGTACCTCTCCCCCCAAAGAATCTAAACTCCATAGCAGAACTTAATCCATTCTCCTTCTCAGTGAAACCCCAGAGCTGGCAAAAGTTAGTACTCAATAGAGATGTGTTGAATGAATGAATAAAATGAAGCAACTGATGTCCAGCACACTACAAAGATCAGGGGTATCATTATCTTATATGTAGCCTATTTTTCAAAGCCATTCTAAAAACAGATTTCCCTGGCACTTCCTGGCTACCTGTTGTACATATTTCAGAGCTCTCTTGGGAACAAATTCTGCCTCCAAAGCAATACAGGAGTCCTGGCAGTGGGTTCAAAGAATCTGGGAGTCAAATGACCAGCAGTTGTTTGCATAAGAAATAACAGTTATGGGTAACCTTTTCAGGAACACTAGAATGAAGTTAAAAAATGTTTTATCCAAGTTAGAAATAAAATGTAACAAAGAATTATGAAAAAATTCTTATTTTTATATGTCTTTTATAGGTATAGATATTAATAGGTCCTTAGCTGGTGTTTTCTTTTTTTTAATTGTATTACTTCATTCAATCTTTATGGTTAACTCAGGAGAAAGGTACTGCTAACTGCATTTTGAAGATGAGGAAATAAGTTCAGAAAGGTTAAGTAACTTACCCAAGGTCACAGAGCTATCCAGAGGCTATCCAACTCAAGGATGATAGCTCAAGCCTGTAACCCTAGCTACTAAGGAGGCAAAGGATTACAGTTCAAGTTCAGCCTGACAAAACATTTGTGAGACCTCCATGTTAACCAACAGCTGGGTGCAGTGGTGGCAGGTGCCTCTCATCCCAAGCTACTGGGTAAGCTGAGATTGGGAGGATCATGGTTTCAGGCCAGTCCAGGTAAAAACGTTTGTGAGACCTCATTTCAACAAATAAAAAAGTTCAGCATGGTGGTACATGGCCTGTCATCCCAGCCATAGCAGGAAGCCTATAAGAGGATTGTGGTCCAGGCTGGCCTGGGCAAAAAGTAAGACCCTATCACCAAAATAACCAGAGCAGAAAGGCTGGTGGAATGGCTCAAGTGGTAGAGTGCCTGCCTAGCAAGTGTGAGGCCCTGAGTTCAAACTCCAGCACCACCCAAAAAAAAAAAAGAAAAAGAGGAAGATCCACAATTCTAATCCAGGTCCTCTATGCTGTTCCTGTGGCACCCAAGTTAAACAGTTCTCAAATGACTATAAGTATTTATAGAAATCCACCTGACGACTGTTTGTAATAATAAATAAAAAGCAAAGGTTGTCACTGCCATCAGCCAGTGACAAGCTGACAACTAGTCACTATGCACAGAAGTCACTACTGTGCATATACTTGTGTGTATGTTTGTGTACATGTACATGCAGGTACATGTTTGCGTGTATTCACCAATCCAGAGCAACACCACAGACTCTCCTCAGTAGGCTGCAAGTGCCCATCCAAAAGCCACACAATAAATTCTTTTACTAGAGAGTCCCTTACTTTCCTAAGACTGACAGTGAACTTGATGATATATAGGCACTTTCCCTTACATTTGACTTTTTTCCTTTACTTGTTATAAGTCCAAAATGTTGCAATATTAAGTCTGATTCTCTGGATTACTTTCATAGATATATAGTAGGAGGGAGCAAAATGAAAATTTTCTAAATATTTGTACTAGTATATGGTAACTGTCATCACAGACTTATAACACAACATTCCAAACAATGACTCAAGTCTGTTGGCCCACAAGCAAACTTGGGGAAGAGGTTTAGTGTACACTGCTCACCTTGGGTAGCTTACTCCTCCGGAGGAACACTGACATAGCATCTCGGCCTGAGTTGTGGTGTAACAATTCTTTGATTTCAATAGTATCATCAGACAAGAAGTAATGTAGGATGAGTTCTCTATGGTCCCCAAACAGTGAGGCTGAGTCATCCCACAGACAGAAGAAACGTAAAACCTTCCCATCGTACTCGAGGAACTGTCTCAGGGTGTCAAAGGACTGATAGGGACGATAGGGATCCACACTCTCTAATACCTGCAAATGGAGAAAACATCAAAAATAGTTGCAGGTTTTATAGTCACTTCTGAGACGCATGCAACTGATTAACATAAAGATAAATTTTTAAAAGACTATTCTATGATATGTTTAAAGATTTCAACTGACTATAATATACAGATAATCTATTTATCTATAATAATCTATAGTCCACTTTTAACCTTAAGAACACAGACAAACATTAGGAAGTTTTTTTATATTGTATTGAACACTATTTTAACATACTAAACTATGGTTCTGTAATATTTTTAAAAATTGACTTTGGGCTGCCAGAGTGGCTCAAGAAATAAGAATGCCTGCCTACCAAGCATGAGGCCCTGAGTTCAAACCGCAGCACTGCAAAAAAATAAACAAACAAAGAAAACCAAAAAAACCTGACTTTTCTCAAAGTCTTAAACTTATTGTTTAAGAAGAGACAAAACTAAACTAATCTATGGTGACAGAAGTCAGAATAGTAACTGCCTCTGAGTAGGGGATTTGACCAGAAAAGGGGACAAAGGAAATTTTCTGGGGCCACAGAAATAGTCTACATCTTTTTTTTTTTTTTTGGTAGTCCTGGGGATGGAACCCAGGGCCTTGCATATACGAGGCAAATGCTCTACCACTGAGCTACAACTCCAGCACAGAATATTTGACATCTTGATTTTCATGTTGGTTACTCAATTACATATATTTTTCAACACTCATTGACCTGTATGCTTTAGTATTTACACATTTTACTATGCTAATTACATCTCAAGTAAAAAAAAATCATGTGTATTTTCACTGGAAATTCTTATCTACCTATACTTCTTACTTGCTCACATTTGTATGAAGGTAAAAAGAGAAGAAATATATACACAGTTTTATTTTGCTCAGAAAACTCTAGATATCAAGGAGATAAAAGCCCAGTGGAAATGGAAGCAGTCCAAATTAAGAACTTCTGGTCCACACAGAAGCCCACCTTAGCTGTCCTCTGCCCCAGGAAGAGCAAGCAATCTTCTTGGTGCAGTTCTTCCCTCAATTTGCATGTTCTCAGCCTGATCTTGGAGCATAACTGCCCCATTCTCTCTGGCGCTGCCACATAGGATTATTATGTAAGGAAGGATTCATTGGCAAGGGAAATGTTAACCCAAATTGGATTACATAATCTTTTTTGTAAATTCTTGAAATTTTATATCTGTCCAGGTCACTCCAGATACAGTCTTACAATGGCTTTCTAGAGACTCTTTAGCCTTATCCTTGTATTTAAGCAAAATTATGGGATCTCTATTTTTATCTACTAGAAAATGTTTCCTTGTCATTATAAGACTGCTAAGAAATGTGTTATCGATTGAACACCATTTGGATTCTTTTCAGTTTAAGTTAAATTGTTTAATTTAACTGTATATTTCAAGGCAGCAAACACTAAAGAACTAAGTACGCAGAAGTCAATATAAAAGCCTCTTATTAAGCTCCTAATTTTCCAAAGGTTTCTACACTTATTCAAGAGTTTCTCCCTAAGGGACTAAATGCTAAAATGATTCTCCCACTCTGAAAGGAAATTATTTAAAACATCTCTTGGCTGTTCTTGGTATTTATTCTCAATTCTTGGCATAAACTTTTTTTTATAAATCTGTGAGATCTCAGAATATTCTTTGCAATTTCATATAATACATCACCATGCACAATCACTGTCATAGGCTGCCAACTGTTAGTAAGTGCAGCCATATGCATGGGTGGCAATTCATATGGATCTATTTCTTTCAGATTCTCTCTAGTGTTTCTAAAGACTATATTTATCATCCAGGATATTTGCAATGGATAAAAATGAACCCAAACCAAAAGGTTTCTTTGTACACTGATACATAGGCATTTTACATTAGATATTCTAAGATCAGTAACATACATACTTCTTAGGAGGGTTGTTTGCCCACAACGTTAAAGCTTAATTCTGCTGGGGCTAGGAAATAGGTATAGATAAATGATCTCACATGCAGTTTTTAAAGAGAGATCAAAATGGAATCCAAGGGAAATTTTACTCTAAATTTTATGTATATTTCTCCAAGGAAATGAATTATGAGTTTTAAAAACAATAAGACTCAGATGAAACTAATCTCTGGGGACAGAAAATGAGAACAGTGGTTGTTCCTGGGTGAGGAGAGGGATTAATTAGAAAAATACATGAGAGTACTTTCTAGAGGTATGGAGATGTTCAACATCTTGATTTGGATGTAGTATGGGTACATGCATCTGTTAAGATTCATCCAAAGCACACATGATGTCTCTGTATTTTACTGGGTATAATCATATGTCAACAAAAAAAAAGAGTGCTTCAGCACTCAGGAGGCTGAAGCAGGAAGATCCTGAATTTGAGGACAACCTAGGCTGTACAGAAAGACCCTGTCTCAAAAAAACAAAAATAAATAAATATATACATAAAAATAAAAAAGGGTAAATGAGTGACAATAATGAAAACTGAGGGAAGAATCAAGAAATTTGCATTCTAGTCCCAACAAGGAGACTAGTTGAATGTGTGACCTTCCACATGATATTTCCCCTTTTGGGTATTCAGATTCTTCTTCTGGAAAACAGAAAATTTGGGTCAAAGGATCATTTTTAAAACTACAGAACAACAACAGTAATATCACTGAGGCTCTACTTGTTAGACTAACTAAGGTCAGACTTTGAAGACAATCATCCTTTCATAATGGGAGAGACATCAGAATCATGGCCCTCTTCACTCTTCCAGAACATTTTAACATCCAATTCCACTATAAGAGGAGTTGGGAATCCCAAGGAGGAAGAGAAAAGGCTTGGTTCACTAAATTAGTAGTATTGAAGCAAAGATTCCTACCCAGAGTTAGACAACTAAAGCTGGCAAAGATAAGCCAAGGAAGTATGGGCCTGACTCATACACTGTCAGTGACCAGAGAACTAATAGTGGGCTCCTAGAAATTGTCCCACCTATGTACCCCTATGGTGTCTACTGAATACTCCAAATGCCAGAAAGAATTTAGTTGGGGAGGGCAGCAAGGAAGGGAATGAGGGACTTATTCCTATTCTGAGGCCAACACTTAGCCTTCCCTCCAATCCAAAGAAGAATAGGACAATTGAATTAAAGATGCCTCAAAAGCTCTTTCATATTTGCCTCAGAAGTACAAACACCCTTTTCTGACTCTCCAAAAGGGTTTTTGTGCTGAACAAAAGAACTCAGGACGCATCAACTTCTTACCTCTCTCCGCATCTTGATATAAGGATCTTCTGGACGATGTCCTGGAGGATTCACTTTGATTCCTATTTTCCTCAAAAAGTTTTTTGTGAAAGAATCGCAATCATAAATTTTGAATGTCCGACCATAGAAGACAACATCTATGTTGATATTGAAATGATACACAGTATAAAACCGATCGTCATCAGGAGGTGGGAGGCAAATCCGATGGCGCCGGATAAAAATCCCTGTTGTGTGAAGCAAAATACAACTGTTTTGCATTCGTTCAACAAGAAAGAAGTTACAATACACCTCAGCAACAACCCTAAATGCTTTCCTATAACAGGAAGTGGGCAACAGGCTTGTGCTAGGAGGCAGCATTAGTACATTCAAACTGAGAGTCACAGAAGCCAGGACTTCAGAGGTCCAGAGTTCTTAAACCAGCCTGGCATGTCATCAGATTTGCCTAAGTAGTGTTAGGAAAGTATTTAATAAACCATTCAGACCTGGGCAGGGATGGGAGATGAAAGGGAGGGATCACAGACACAATGACAAAAAATGCTACTCTGCCACTCCTAGAACAGGCTCACTTTGAGCCACTAGCACTCAATGTGTCAACTAAACAAGGCGTTAAAGCCTAACAGCAAAGCATTCATAAAAATGCATACTCTTGGCTTGAAAAAAAGTAAAAAAAAAATGCTAGTAAGCTGCAGTACATAGGTACCAGCACTGTGATTTACAGCTTGATAAGCATAATAACTTTAGGCTGCTTTGAGCTTCATGGAATCTTCTTTCCCCTGCCAACTTACTCTCCCTTCTTCCTCTACCACTTCTATTTACCTCCACCCAATGACCTCCAGCAAATGAGGGGTGCTAGAAGCATCACAGTTTTACTCTGGCTCTGTTTACTTTGACTCCGTGTCAAAGATTCTCAATTTCATCACATCTTTCACTTACAACTCTATCATGCCCATTCGCTTCTGGTTAGAGACAAAGAGCAGTTTATTACTCTATAGGAGTAATGGTAGCAACAAAATATCTTCATTTTTTGCACCAGTTTCCTAAGACCCAATTCTATGAGGGTATGACAAACAATAAAGACCAGATACACCCACATACACAGTAGGTTACAATGGCAGGAGAGGAACCCTGATTTTAGGGAACCCAAACATTCTACAATGAGTAAAAAGTAGCCTTATTAGACTGGACAGTAAGCACAGCTGCCCTTTGTTCTGTGGGGAGACACTACCTCTTTTACCAAGGCTATAAACAAATCTGCACTTGCTCTAGTTGGAGAGGTAATCTTCATCTTTCCAAAGCTGTTTGCATATATAAACACCCATGAAGAGACAGCACAAAACACAGAGTAGTTAGTGCCTCAGATTGCAAGATGTACAGAAATGCAAGATACCCATGGAGGATTGTGTCTGAACATCTGTAACTGACTTAGACTTGAAAACCCCCTCCAAGAGTAAAGAGAAAAGGGAAATAGCAACCTAAGGAGCTAATGACTCAGTAACAATTGGCTTATGTGACTCTGATGGAGGTAATATAAAGATGTCAACATAACTTCTTTTTAATTTTATATAAAAATGAGAATGAAGCCTTTTCTCAAAGCCTAAAAATGCTTAGAAATTATTCACTCCTTATTCATTAAAAAACATTTAATGAATATTTTTATGTGCCAGGAACTGTGTTGGGCTCTGTTCTTTTACTCCACTTACCTGTTCAGTTTGTTGAGAGGAAATTAAAATCATTTTTATCTTCTTTTCTTTTGCAGCAATTTTTAATTACTGGTACATTAAATTAAAATAATAAAACTATAAATTAAGAACTAGCCTAGAATTTTTTAAATGTGCTACATAAAAGATGATACGATTTTACTGCAAAAAAATTATACTTCAATTATCCTTTAATTCATGCCACTGAAAACAGTATGCAAATTATTTAATCATTCAAGATTACACATTTGGAACAAATTGCATACTTAAACATCTATAAAAGGATGGGAATTTCAGGTATTTTCAGGAACCATTATATATCTCTTTAAAAATATTTATATCATGACAGCTTTTTAAATGTGTAAGATTTACTCAATAGGAGGAGCATCTTCAAAAATTCTATCTTACTTTGTACTTCATATGTAAAAATTCAATAAGTAGTTATAATTTTTTGTTTCATAAGACTCTGAATAGGAATGCCTTAGTTTTTTTTAGGTAATGAAGACCTGGACTTACCACCACCAGGCTCTTAATATCATAACATCATCATAGATATGATATTTAGAATAGACTTCCATTTACATTGCCTCATTTAATCCTCAATAGTCCTTTAGATAGATAATAACATAATAATGAATATCAGTTTAAAGATAAGAAAACAAAAAAGCTCAGAGTGCTTAAGTGGTCCTGCCCAAGGTCATGTCCTCAATGAATGGCAGACAAAAAAATTTGAATTTAAGGGTTTTCAGACTCTAACTCACGACTCCAATTAACTTTCCATACTTTTCACTGGAGCTTTAAACTAGCTTTACAGCAACACTTTAAATGAAAAAGGAGGAAGAAGCCATACTGCAAAATAGGATGAAATGAATAGAAGATTGCCAGCTGCCAGAAAAGGAGAGATTGATGATGGAATTTCTCTTTCATAATAGCAGCCTGTCCTGTTCTAAAGGCAAATTTCCAGAGCAGGTTACCTGCCCCCACCCCTACCCCAATAGAGACAGCACCTCAGGATTTTCTGCCCTCCAGAGCCTGTATTCAGGCCTCCACACTGGCCTTTTCTCAGCCCCTACACTTCTTTAAAAAAAATGCTTCGCAGAAGAGGTCAAGGAAGCCCTTTGTGGTAAAACAAAAGAAGTCCTGACCATCCATG